GGTGGGAATTCCCTGGCAGTACCACGGTTAGGACTCGGTGCTTTCATGGCCAGGGCCCAGGTTCGATCCCCCGTTGGGGGAAGTAAGATCCGGCAAGAAGCACAGTGTGGCCAAAAAAAGAAAAAGAGTGACTTTAGTCAAGTGGTAGAGTGGAAGCAAAATTGAAAAGAGCTGAGGAGAAAATGGAGGTAATCTACTCCCCAATTTGCTGTCCCCTTCCCCCTCATCAGAGCTTTTTCAGACTCTTATTAGTTTGAAACTCTGTGAATCCACCTGAGTATACTGTTACAGTTCAGATCTGACTTGGTAGATCTGGAGTGGGCTCTGTATTTCTAACAAGCTCCCTGGTGATGTGGATACCACTGAACCAAACTTGAAGTAGCAAGGAGTTAGACTGGGCTGCCGAGTCAGTGTCAAGGCCCAGTCTTGATGAGCGCCTTACCAAAGACACTCAGGTGTACAGAGATAAAAATGAATTATTAGGGTCTTATATCATTATCCACATCAGAAAAATACTAAAAAGGAAAACAAGAGGAAATTTCTGCACTCTATGTCTGGTTCTTTCCTGTATAGGTGCCATTCTCATGAAAGTCCCTTCATCTGAGTCACTTAAAACTTATTAGGATTTTTTAGTTATTATTTCTATTTTAATTGCATTAGGCTCCAGAACATGCTAAAATCGCCGTCCTTCAAAATTTGTTACTATTTGCTTCATGGTTCAAAGCATGATGAATTTTTGTAAATGCTCCATGAGTGCTTGGAAAGAAATTATTCCGTAATTGAGTTCAAGGCTTTATGCCTATTAGGTCAAACTTAATAACTGGGTTTGACAGGTCTTCATAATCTATTAATTACTAAAATGAAATCTGTTAAAACCACCATTCTCTCTCTACCTGGAAAGTCTTTCCTCCTCATCTCTCCAACTCTCCCAGTCTTCCATCCAACAACCGGGGATTCATGGTGACCAAAATCTGACCAGGTCTCTGCAGAACCAGTCCTTCCCCTCCTGGAGCTGACAGTCTAAAAAGGTTTATCTGGTCAACAACACCTCCTCCCCTCACCTCAGTTGTTGTCATTCAGTCACTCAGTCCTGTGCGACTCTTTACGACCCCATGGACTGCATGCCAGGCTTCCCTGTCTTCACTGTCTCCCAGACTTTGCTCAAATTCATGTCCATTGAGTCAATGATGCCATCCAACCATTTCATCCTCTGTTGTCCCCTTCTCCTCCTGCCTTCAGTCTTTCCCAGTATCAAGGTCTTTTCCAATGAGTTGGTTCTTCACATCAGGTGGCCAAAGTATTGGAGCTTCAGCATCAATCCTTCCAATGAATATTCAGGGTTTATTTCCTTTAAAATTGACTGGTTTGATCTTTTTGCTATCCAAAGGACGCTCAAGAGTCTTCTCCAGCACCACAGTTTCAAAGCACAGTTTCAATTCTTCAACACTCAGCCTTCTTCAGGATCCAACTCTCACATCTGTACAAGACTACAGGGAAAACCATAGCTTTGGCTATACTGACTTTTGTTGGCAAAGTGATGTCTCTGCTTTTTAATACACTGTCTAGGTTTGTCATCTCTTTTCTTCCAAGGAGCAAGAATCTTTCAATTTCATGGCTGCAGTCACTATCTGCAGTGATTTTGGAGCCCAATAAAATAAACTCTGTCATTGTTTCCTTTTTTTCCCCATCTATTTGCCATGAAGTGATGGGACTGGATGCCATGATCTTAGTTTTTGAATGGTAAGTTTTAAGTCAGCTTTTTCACTCTCCTCTTTCACCTTCATCAAGAGGCTCTTTAGTTGCTCTTCACTTTCTGCCATTAGGGTGGTGTCATCTGCGTATCTGGGATTATTGATATTTCTCCTGGCAATCTTGATTTGCTTCATCCAGCCTGGCATTTCCCACGATGCATTCTGCATACAAGTTAAATAAGCAGGTTAACAATATGCAGTTCTGATGTTCTCCTTTCCCAGTTTTGAACCAATCCGTTTTTCCATGTCCAGCTCTAATAGCTGCTTCTTCACCTGCATACAGGTTTCTCAGGAAGAGGTCAGGTTGTCTGGCATTCCCATCTCTTGAAGAATTTTCCACAGTTTGTTGTGATTCACACAGACAAAGGCTTTGGTAGTGTAGTCAATAAAGCAGAAACAGATTTTTTTTTTTGAACTCTTGCTTTTTCAATGATCCAACGGATGTTGGCAATTTGATCTCTGGTTCCTCTGCCTTTTCTAAATCCAGCTTGAACATCTGGAAGTTCATGGTTCATGCACTGTTGAAGCATGGCTTGGAGGATTTTGAGTATTATTTTGCTAATGTGTGAGATGAGTGCAATTGTGTAGCAGTTTGAACATCCTTTGGCATTGCCCTTCTTTGGGATTAGAAGGAAAACTGATCTTTTTCAGTCCTGTGGCCACAGCTGAGTTTTCCAAATTTGCTGGCATATTGAGTGCAGCCCTTTAACAGCATCGTCTTTTAAGATTTGAAATAGCTCAGCTGGAATTCCATCACCTCCACTAGCTTTGTTCATAGTGATGCTTCCTAAGGCCCGTTTGGCTTCGCACTCCAGGATGTCTGGCTCTAGGTGTGATAGTGGTTATCTGGTTCATGAAGATCTTTTTTATATTGTTCTTCTGGGTATCCTCTTCTTAATATCTTCTGTTTCTGTTAGGCCCATACTGTTTCTGCATGAAATGTTTTGTTGGTATCTCTAAATTTCTTGAAGAGATCTCTTGTTTTCTATTCTTTCCTCCCTCCTCTGAGCTCTTACATCACTCACTGCCTTTGTAGCTAATGTAACACTCAGTCTGTCTTCACTGCAATGATTTGTGTTCATAATTTACTCCAGCTTTTAAATTCCAGGTAAGCCAAGATTATCCTGTTTTCTATATAACTGCTTTATTGAACTATAATTATTGACAAACCATAAAATTCACTCTTGTAAAGTATAAAATTCATCAAAGAAGAACATCTTATTTATCTTGGCATCCTCTGTAGCAGTGGTCCTCCATCTTGGTTGCATGTTGGAATTACCTGTAGATTTTTTTTTTTTAAGAAACCCATGCTACCTGGTTCTCACCCCCAAGAGGTTCTGACTTAATTAGTTTGGCGTGTGGCCCAGGCATCAGAATTTGTAAAACCCCAGAGTGATTTTAACTTGTAGTCTGGGTTGCCTTATAGTGCTTTGCACATAACTGCCACTCAATAATTGTAATCATGAATTAGTCCTAGGTTCCAGCTAATTAACTTACCCAAGAACTACCTACCTTCCCTGTTTCCCTCTAGTCCCACAGCTCTTATAATGATCTGTTTATGTCTATCTCCTCCACTTGGTGTGAAAGGAAGACTGAGACAAAAGCATTTAGAAAAGATAAGTTTACTTGCAAAGACATGCAGACTTCAAATACAACAGATACTAAAAGGAAAAATGTAAAGATTACCATGTTTACATTTATCTCTAAGGCATAGATAATATGCTTACATGGGGAGATATGTAACAAATGACATATTTCCAAATTTCTGTATTTAAAAGTCAGGAATAAAATGGTTCTCATTATAGATTCAGTAATTGATAGGGGAAAACTCAAGATTTCATTCATTTCAGACACCAGACATAAGAGTACTTTGGTAACTGTCTTAGGCTTGAAAGTGTCTTGCTCTTCTTCCTATTTTTTCCTCCTGTGGGACTTAATGTACACTTTTTTTTTTAAAGTCCTCTAGGTATGTTTTTATTTCCAAAGCAGTAATATAACCATCCTATTTTAATTTTCAGTTGTCTCCATTGATGACATTAGACCATAAAGAATTTTTACTTAATCTTTCTTTCCACACTGCAGTAAAAATAATCCTAACATACAATGAAGACAGCTTTATTATAAAACCTATTTCCAAACTGTTTTTGACAATTTAAACATTCTAAGGTTTTTAAATTAAGGATTTATTGTAAAGGTACACTTAAAATTGCAGCAGTTTTGCTTCCACAACTGTGAGCTTCATGAAGACAGGGTCCGTTCCAGTCTTACACATTATGTCATTTCCGTGCTGGCACACATTGGATGTTCAATAAATATTAGTGAAATAGATACGATCACACCTCATGCCACAGTATTTAAATAAGATTTTAACTAGATAGGGAGCTGCATCAGTTTCCCATTTTGATACTTTTTGCAATTCTTAATTATGGTACTCTGAACTGGGGCACTCCTTAAATTTCTTACTCTACAACAAATTTAGAAGGCGCTTTTATTTCCATGTAAACGGTTGCTGAGGGTCGGGTGTCTGAAAGGATGACCCTCAAGTGAGGAGCAAGATGGTCAGTCCCGAATGAATGGACACTAGATTCTCGTGACTGGGAGAGATCCCTCAGAGAGGCCGGTGGTCGGTCATTCTGCCAGGCCTGTATCATCATTTAACACCTGCCATTGACAACGCCCCACAGCCAGATCCCAAGGGTCTGCGTGGGCATGCGGAGCCGCGCCCCCTAATTCGCTACTGTAGCATCCCCCAGCAGGAGGGTCACGCCCCAGGGCGCAACGCAGAGAGACTCAGTCATCTAGAAGACAGAGTAAAACCAGTCGCACCAAGGAGAGGCAGCGTTATTTCGGCAGCTGGCTACTCCTCCAGAGCCTCCACCCTATCCCCTGGGCCCAGCGCCCGGCGCTCAGCCTGTGCCGGGCTCCAGGAGCCCCAGCTCCCTCCACGTGTCCTGTCTTCCCAGCAGCCACCTCTGCCGCCTCGGGAGGAAAATCTCCTGACAACTCGCGGTCTACGGACTACGACTCCCAGCAAGCACCGCGCCGCTTCTCTCTCCACCCCCTCCACGGGGCACGCAGGCGCCCTGGGCTCCGTCAACAAGCCGGGCTGGCGAAGCCTGGATACAGTTCCTTATGGGATTTGTAGTTTTTTTTGAGTTAGTTGGGCCGTAAGTCAAAGGGACAAAGACTACAAGTCTCGGCGGCCCCAGCGTGACGAGCCCGGTCACGTGGCAGGGGGCCGACCGGGCGTGCGTGCCGCCGTTGATCCGGTGCTGCAGTGAGGAGGTGGTTCTCGCCCGTGTTGTGTGTGTGTGTGTGAGTGAGAGAGCGAGTGAGTGAGTGAGTGAGTGAGTGTGTGTGGGGGGGGACTCGGCTTGTTGTTGTCGGTGACTTCCCCCTCCCCTCCACCCCTCCCCCTTCCCCGCCGCCGCTGCAGTGGCCGCTCCCTGGGCCGTAGGAAATGAGCGATAACGATGACATCGAGGTGGAGAGCGACGTGAGTCCTGGGGCTTCTTCCTTCCCTTGCGGGTTGTCAGACGGGAACAGCGGCCGGGGTTCTCAGCAGAGCGACGGCGGCAGGGGGCCGGGCAGCCGCCGCCTCCTTCCCCTTCCCCCGCTGGGCCGGGACCCCCTCCGTCGCGCTCCCGGCTCGCTCTCTCCGGGCTCTTGGCCGGAGCGGCCTTCTGGGACTGGAGGTGGGGAGGAGACACGCGGCCTGTGAGACCCCAGCCTCCCCCAGTGGAGGAAGGTGCTGCGGCCTCCCGTTCCCATCCTATCCCGTTCAGGATCCGGGGGACAGGGACGGGGTGCCCCGGGGATCCCATTGTCCGGATCCTGGGGAGGGGGTACTGCGCTTAGGACCTGCCCCGTCCGCGCGCGACCCCCTGCTCCCGTGACCCGCGGATCCTGGGGAATGAAGGAGGGCGGAGAGGTTGGGAGTGCCCAGATGCCATGAGCTGGGTGCGAGGAGAGGAGACAGTGCTCTGGATCCCCTTCTGTCCCGGATCGGATCCCGGAAGGAGGGGCGGCGCTCAAGACCCCCCTGCTCAGCTACCCGATCCCGCTAGGGGGGGATGGGGGCGTAGGATGGGGAAGGGGGGTAGGGCTGACTCCCCACCCGCCGCTTCCTCTGACGCCGGCATTTTCTTTCTTATTATTGAATGTGAAGTGTAAAAATAACTTCTATATTTTCTATTTTTTTTTCTCTCTTATTCCAGGAAGAGCAACCGAGGTTTCAATCTGCGGTACGTCTCCTACTCTCCATTTCATTTTCATTTCCGTTCAATTCTAGTCCTTTTTGGGGTCGGAGAGAAAAAGAGATTGTTCTGTTACTTTTAATGTTGTAGTAAACTCACCTGTTAACCGCTAAGGTGAGGTGGGGCCTAGCTCTGGGGTTCTAAGTGGTGGTGGGGGGGTGGTTTGCGAATCTCATAATTCTGGATTCTCAGGTGATAAGTTTCCGTGAATGTAGGTGAGTGAGAGAAGTTGTATGCAAGGAAATGAATCCTTCCGTAGTTTTCAGATGGGGGCTCTAGCTGTCACTATGTAAGTGGGAAATGAGACGTGCATCATGCTAAAGTAAGTTGAAGTATTCAGGGAAAAGTGGTCAGATTTACTTAGGAAGAAGTAGGTTCTAAACCATGGCTGTGTGAAGTTGAATCCACATGCAGTAATCACCTTTAACCAAAAGTCATGTGACTGCTGTAGACCTATGGAATCTCACACAGTCTGGTGTTTTTCTAATGCAGACATTGGAAATGTAGAGGAGCCAAAGGTTGAATCTGAACGTGTCACATTCAGCAGCTTACTGTGGTCTGACTGTATTTTAGTTGAAGGAGCAGTATAAAGGCAATAAAAGAATTGTTGAAGAAAAGTGGCATTGCAGAGAGAGGTTTGCTAAGAGGTGATGGTTGAGACTATACAGTGTTGTCAGTGATTTCTCAAAGTATTGTTATAAATCTTCTCAGTAGGTGATTCTGTGGATTTAAGATAGACACTAATCTCATGTCCTTGAGACAGTGCTATGGGTGTTCCATGAATAGAACAGAGGAAGGAAAAAAGAATAGATACAAAATAAATCAGAATCAGGGAGGAAGAGACATAAGTAAATCATGCTGTCTAACATTTGACAGATGGGAGCAGTAGGAAGTAGATAGAATGGAGCCCCAAAATTTAGATGCTTCCAGAGGATCCAGGCAGTGAGATCGTCAGGAATGAAGTAGAGAGCAGAGGTGAGAACTGGGGGACTAAAGAACAGAACACATGCGTCTTCTGAAAAGGCAGCCACTGTAGTCCAGTGGGTTGTTATGTGAGAATCAGGCTAAGTGTCGTCTCATCTTCCTATTTTGGAAGAAAGATTAAAAATCCAGACTTTTATGTTATTTTTCTGATTTTTAAAATGATGTGTGAGACAATCAAGTTGTTTAGGGGCTTGTTAGAATTTCAAGGATGCCACTTAGAGACCTCTGGTCTATGAATTTATCACAGAGTAAAAGCAAGCCCTCTTATACCTGCTCAATTCTGAGGTTATCAAAGCAGTTAGGTATTGAGAAAAAGTGTACTTGTTGAGAGCTGGTATTTCCGTAAAAACCCAACAATGCAGTTGTTCCAAATAGTCAGTAAAAAAGAATTTATTTTTCCTTGGAGTATTTAAAGACAGTACTTTGAATATTTGCAGTATTGTTAGATACTTAATATCTCTACATAGATTTGGAAATTGAATTCCTTTTATTCAGCTACTATTATCCTTAATAATGTAAACATGGAATTTCATGTTTGAAATCGGGTCTGTTTTCCTCCAAGTCTCCAGTTATAAAATCTGCCCTCGGGCTTGATCAGAATTGGAGAATAGGGGTTGTTTAGGCTTCCTTTGAAGAAGAATTATTTCAATTGAAATTATATCAGCTTTCCACTGTGAGAAAAATTTTCTTTATGAAATTTGGTGTATAGTTCCTGAGAGTTTTCTGCTTTTCAAAATATCCATGCACATGGCTGTTGATGTAAATTGTTTTATTAAATTATTAAAATGTTTCCACTCTCCTAGAGTGCTAATCTCATTGTTTTGTCTAGATATTTAAAATTTGATGTTAAAGTACTTAGGCTTTTCCCTTTGATTTTGGAGGGTGGGCAGAGGGAGTGAGTTTGACCCTTTGTTTTTAATTTGACATACCTACTTGCTGAGAAGTTTAAATGTTACCTGTTGCAAGATAATCACACTGGCATAGAGAGAAGCAGTGGTAGACAAATTTTACAGCATATCAAGCAATTATTGTGAATACATAGGGTTAAAAGGATTTTATTTTTTTCCGGGTGTGACTATGTCTGTCTAATTCCTGACATTTAGTATAGATAAATATATTTTTTTAATTTGGGGGGAAACTGTTAAGCTTTGCCTTAGTTCAGAAAAGGATATGGACTGTGAACAACCAAATATTTAGGACTACAGAAGAACTTTTAAGAAGTTATTTTGAAAAGGTCCTGTGGGTCCTAATACAGAAAGAGAAATTCATTCACGTTTTATAATGTAACTATAATAGCTCCGGCTTTACTACATAAGAAATGTAAGATATTCATTCAGCAAGAACAGAGGCTTGAAGTAACAGAAAGTGAAACTGACTTGACGAGTATTTTTTATTGTTGCCTCAGTGCAAACGGAAAACAACTTCTTCGGTGACCAATAAGATTTGTTAAAGGAAGTAATCCCAAACAATAATTTTTATTAGTAAATTCACTGTATCTCATAATGTCACTGATATTATCTTATTTTTATTATTCTTTGGAGGAAAAAAGTTGCATTTCAAAGAGTTTTCTGGGGCAGGTATATTTCATGCAGGGTAATAATGTTGTATTTCTGTTTGGGGTTTTTTTTTTTTTTGAAGGAATGAAAGTATATGAGAAACATAGGGCTAGGGTTAGTGTGTTAGAAACCCATGGTCTTTTTCAACTTATTCTTCATGACAGCTGCACGTTTCAGTTACAGCATACCTATCTGGGGGTTGGCTAGAAACAGATTTGTACAATTCTGTTTCTGGACCTTTCTGGTATAAAATATTTTTAACCTCTCAGAGCTCTTTGTTTTTTTAGGAATTGCAATGTATTCAGAGGGGAATGAGCTTGGTTGATCACCTTTGAGATTGAAATTTACTCAGGAAATTAGTGTCTTTTACCTTGAATTAGTTGCATGGCAAAAGTGCTACATGATACATGTACTTTGTGTCGGCTTAGAGTGTTCACAGTGATGTGGATGCCAAGTTTGGTTCCTAAAAATACTTAACGGAAGGGTGATCTTATATTTAAGTTGTTTTCCAGGATGCCAGTAATAGTAACATTGTTGATCAAGGAAAATAGCTATAGAATGATGGCGTATTTATATGATATGTTTCCCAAGTTTTTTAAGGCACCAAGTGATTTTTTGAATAGCCTGGAAAACACACATATGTATTGGATATTAAAAACGTATACCAGGTAGTTGGCCTGAAGCTGGAGAGGTGTTGGGAAGTTGCCATTTATATCTCCTATTAAGGACCTTAGTGAGTTTCTCATCCAAGCTGCCCATAATTTCATGTTGCAGATTTCATGTTGATTAAAGTGAATTAAGTTGCTTAGACATTCAGTTTTATTTATCCTATCTACTTCCCATCAGAAATAGTAATTAGATCTTTTCTGATGACAATTTTGAGCCTATGTATTTCCAGCATTAGTGTTTAATAAGAATACCTTATTAAGTAATCATAAGCAACACAATCTTCCTTCTAAAATATAACTTAAATTTCTTAAAGGCAGTAAATGTTTATAGATCAATTCTTAATCCCATATATGGTGGGAGTTTTCTATATTGATTTAAGAAGACTCCTCTTATAGATGGAATTAGGTGTCAGGTAATCTGCAAGAGATGGCATTGCTCTGGAGAACCTTAGGCATCCTTGCATAATGGAACATTCATTTCCCCATGCGATTTGCCTCCCTAGAACTTGTGGGAAATAATGCTGCTGTCTGATGTAATGCCTCAAAGGAAGATGTATTCTCTATGCAGTAAGTTGGAAGGAAATAATTTTTAAAAATTCCCTCAGTTTTGAACAGCCTTCCTTAGCTTGAATGACCTGCTGCCAGTTTAGCAACTTCTTGGCTAAGGAAATAATGTTTGCCTTCAACATTTAACAACACTTGAGATAACAAGTGCTTGTTAGTGTCAGAGATGGACAAATTGTAGGTGAAGACTCGTGTTCTGGCTGCCAGTATGGAAAGTTTGGGGGAAATAATACTGAGAGGCTGAATAAAAACCTTGGCAGAGATGTCAAAGCTGGAATCGATTTGGTGTTGGAGTTCCTTTTGAGCATCTGTGGGCCACTCTTCAGTATCACACAGCCCTTTAGTATTTCTCTTAGCCTGGGATGCCCTGAAGGAGGGCTTGTCTGGCAGAAACTGCAAATCCAGCTTGCTTAAAGAGTGACAGCATCCGGCCACTGCTCCTGTAGGATGTATAGGGGAGGTATTTGGGGGCCTGCTGTACAGCCCAAGAATGCCTTTTGTCTTCTAGAATTTGTCTGGTAGCACCTGTTTTCATTATCAAACATCTTCCTCAGTATAGGTAAGAGAAAGCTGGCTCATCTGAGTTGAGCTTTATTTGTTCAAGACACACAATTGTTAGGCCCTTTCCCCCCCCCCCCCCCCCTTTTTTTTTCTTAACTAGTTTTGAGTTTGTGGAAGGGTCTCAGATGCCTTATACTGGGAATCTTCACCCAGTTTTTAATTCTCAGTTCTGAAATCTTGGCCCTTTCAAAAACGGTTGCCAGCAAGTGAAGATAGTTAACAAAGCAGTGATAAGGCTGGCAACTGGCCCTTCATTTGGGTGAATTGCAGAGGAGGGGAATTCATCCGGCTAGACATTTGGAAATTGTTTCCCAAACAGAATTCTCAGTCTCGTGTAAAGGTTTTTCATATGGTCTTTCAAGCCACTAGAGGTAGTATTTAATCAGAGTTGCCTGGAATTAGGCATGTTAGTTCTGCATGTTTTTAACTTGCTCTTTCAAATGAGACTTGAGAAGAAGAAAAAATACATTATTGACATTGTCTCAGAGAGCTCTAAAATGGCCTCTGGTTAAGTGGAGCAGCTTGGGGATGGACATGGCAGCAGGGATTGGGCTGAGATTCCACTCTTCTGCTGGTTAAATGGGCCCTGGAACCACCACAGAAATTCCATCCACTGCTTTGAGAACAACAGCCCCAGCGCAGGCTTTCTACCAGGCAGTGGACTGCTGCCTTTCCTTGTTGAGCCAACTTCTCAAAGTTGGCTGGCTCCCCAGATGAGAAGCCAAGATTTCTGCTGATGGTCCACAGCCAAGTTCACTTACAATCCTCTAACCGAAAGACTTGTCCATTTGAGTCCTTTCAGGGCTCAGTGAATGGGAAGGGGGTAATGCATTGTGGGGATGATTTTGGTGTTAGATTATACTTAGCTCCACCCTTCTAGTGCAGGCCTGAGTGAAACCAAGTCCAACTTGATTCTAGCCATCTGAGATTTGCAGGGCTCTCCCAGAAAGAAAACAGACAATTAGAATTTTATTTGTATCAACAAGAAGGATTGTGGGTAACTGGTGTCACTGCTTCCGTGCACAGCTGGGAGGAGGGCCAGGAATCAGGGTGATTTAGTAGACAGGAGTATCTTGGGCTGCTGCTGGATACCAAAGCTGGGCAATTAATTTGCATGTAAATAAGCCATCCTAGGGAGTGTGTAAGCAAACACAGGGGAGACAGATAGATGCCAAATGCCATCTCTCAGCCCTCTTAAGTTTTAGGTCTAGGGACCAGCCCACCAGCCCAACTTAACTACCTTATCAATAGATGACTAGAGGGAATGGTAAGTTAGAAAAGGACTAGGTACTTAAGTATGTTTAATTCCTTCAAGCTATTCATATAACTGACAGAAGGTACCTGCAGTTTTCTTGCTCTAATGCTGTATGATACCTTCTAGCCTCAGGTGATCTGGTCATTCCCTCAGTTTCCCCGTAAATTCCACATTATCACTGAAGTTCAGCAGACACTCATTTTTACAGAGAATCCAGACGTAAGATGAGGAGAGCTTTAGCTGTGTTCCAGGCATCTGCCCTAAAAACGAGCGCTATGCCATGGAGACCGTGGCTGTGATGGGGACCGTGTGTCCTGTTGAACAGAGCTGTAGGTGAGGTGTGCTTGAGAGACCAGGAAGTGACTAAAATCACCACAGCTGCCCCCAGCCTCCTCTTCCTCTGTCGTGACTCAGACTTTAGGGTTAGATACTAGAATTTCAAGTCCTTTCATTCCACAACTCTTGTCTTCATAGACTTTTATCTGAACGTCTTGTCTAGTACAAAGATTCATTTGATCCTTTCTTGTGCTAAGCCAAGTTGTTTACTCCTGTTGCTTCATTTTTAAAATTGCAGGTTCTGTGTCTGGGTAGGTTAAAGCTACCTGGAGCTTCCGATGTCCAGACATCCTCTTTAGGTTAGCTCAGTGCAGCCTCATGTACTGGGGGTAAATGTTCTCAGAGTACAGTATTTCCACTAATTCCCGAAGTGCCGATGTGACGTTCCTGCTTTAGGTTAAGTCAGCATTTGTGCTCCATTGGAGGGACTGCCCCTGTAATGTGGGTCTGCCGAAGCTCCCTTGCAGCATTCACCCGCACTGTCTTCCATCTGAAGCCAGTGTGTTTTGCCGTCCCTGATTTGTTGACTGTCTCTGTCCTTCTCAGCTGATTGTTCTTTGTGATTCTCAGCAGGACAGGATAAATACTTTGGTCTGTGGGTATTTAGCTACTGCCAAATAAGCATGACCTGCCACAGGTGCCTGAAGAAATTTATTCAGAGTATGTGGGTGTCAGAAGGTTTGCTGTCTAAGAGCTACCTTTCTGGCAGCCTGTGAAGGGAAGGCCTTGGCAGAATAGCACCTTGGATGCACTTTAAAAAAAAAAAAAGGAGCTCAGAATGCAGTTGTCGTCTATATCAGCTTTGTCATGGTGATCTCCGATTCATGCATCTAGGTTTTCCAGAGGTTTTAGTTTCTCATATATGATTTGGCAAGCAGGTCTTAAAACTAGTACCCTTTAGCACGGTGGAGACCAGAGCAGACCCATGGTGATGTTTTCACATGAAAGAAGTACTGTACCAGTGACCTGACTCCTTTCCTGGGTCCCCATCAAGGGGAATCTCTTACAGTGGGGGTGATCAGCTTTTAGGAAGGGGCCCACTGCAGCTTTTCCCTGGCCACCTCCTAGCCATGGGACTGGCAGCTGTTCTGTCACGTAAGTTGTGGGAGAAAACTGATGTTACAGGAGTCACGCTTTGTCCCCATGAATAACTTTTATTTTACTTATGCATGAGCTGGATGCATCGAGCTACTTTGGATGTTCCTGTCGCAAGCCTTGCTCACCCCTTTCTCCCCCTTTAGCAGAGCCTAATTCTGGAGACTCCTAACTGCCCACCTCGACAAATACTTCCCAGTCCAGTCATCTGGGACTGCGCTGACAGCATATACTTCCAGGCTGTCCCCACTCACCTGTGCGTGGCAGGAGGAGTGACTCTGCTAACGTGCTGTTTTTCCCATTCTTCCAGGCTGACAAACGGGCTCATCATAATGCACTGGAACGGAAACGTAGGGACCACATCAAAGACAGCTTTCACAGTTTGCGGGACTCGGTCCCATCACTCCAAGGAGAGAAGGTGAGTTTACTGAGAAAGCTGATGAGCCACCACGAGCTTAGAGCGCACTGTGGGGCTTAGCAGGGTGCTCACCTTTCCAGAAAGAAATGGAGTCTGGGATGTTTGGGTGGCATGGTTTCCTTCATCTTTGATTCTTCAGGGAATCATCATACACCTTACCTACTCTCTATTTCATCCTTAACAAACCATGTCAGATGTAATGGAGCTGCTTGTTAAGACATTAGTAGGAGCTATCTTTTAATATTACATATAATACTCATTCAAGAAATTATTATAACAAGAAGCATACAGTAGTTTGGGATAATGCTAAGGATTTCTGAGGTCAGTGCTTCTCTGGACCTCCATGGCAATTCCTTTCATATGGTTCCAAGTGGTACTTATTTTAAATGAAACCTCCCAGGAATGTATGTAAACCAATCTGGACACCAGTGATCTCCCAGTCTAAGAGTAGTTATTATTCCAAAGGCGTATATATAAAGAACATTTTAAATGTGAACTTGAGTAAAGAGACATGTTCCCATGAAATGAAAGAGAAAAAGAACCACTCTTCCCCCATCCCTCTACCCCATTGTGGCCTTCCAGAAACTGTTTTCCCTGGAGAGGTAGGCACCAACTGTTTCTACGTTTGAAATGCAAAGTCCGCAACTTTGACTAAAAAGCCTATAGGTTAGGGTCAGTCCTTGAAATTTGGAGAAAATACGTGTTTGCTCACAGTTAGTTCCATCCTTGACGAACAATATAACTGGCTGCTCTCTGCAGCTGGTCAGTGGTGTAAGTGACAAATTTGGAAGAGGACCTGTTTTTTTTGTCTTGTCTGTCTGTCTGGTTGTTTTGTTGGTTCAGTAATGCAGTGTTTCAAGAAGCAACCATGTTAAGAAAAACCATTGCTCTCAGGTGTGCTTTGAATGGCTCTCCAGATTTAGCTCTCTGGTAGGAGTCTTGGGTTTGTTTGGTTATCCAGAATTAAACTTGGGCCAATGAAACTGGATGCCATGATGGTTTCCTTGTATTTATACTGCCACACTGGTAAGCCATGTGCTGTATATCTTATCTAAGGTGTGACTGTGTGGTTGAAGCATGACGTCAGTCTGACCTTTATGAAAAACATAAAACAGGCCATGTAAATACCTAGTATTGCAAAACCAGAGTTTGCCATGGGTTAGGTCTACTTAGTGTGGACTTGACTTAATGGCCTTGGTCCAAGGTGCTTACCTGGAATGACAGCGTTCCTGGGTACAGCACTGTCAAAGCACCACAGGAAATCTGCATGATGGGGAGAAAGGCTCACCCTTTCGTCAGAGTGCACATGTGCAGAGGATTATCTCTTGCACTTACCTGAACTATTGACAGTAGGTTCATATTCATGTGCCATGATATCAACTAAAATGGCTTAGGTGAAATAAATGGACAAGAGCTACCTTTTTCTAAGTCTCACATCTAACCAGGAGTGGTGCCGGGACAGTATATCCCAAGAAATGGCCTGAAGACCACCTCCCTCAGAGTCACTACTGAGTCTGTCTTTCTGGAGGTAGGCCTAGAGTTCTGTATTTATAACTAGTGGTCTGATAATTCTTAAATTTGAGATCACTTTGGGAGAGATCAGTTCTTAAAGAGAGCTCAACTCTACCTTTTTCTTACCTAATCTTTTTTACATTATTGTAGCATTCTTCCTTAGGTCCTTAAAAATCATATTACCATAATCCTGTTGTCTCATTTCTTCAAGGAAGTTGACAGGTTGAATTTGGTAACCTTACAAACCTTACAAATAGTTGTCATTCATTGTGACCCATTCATTTACTCACTGACTCCATTCACAAATACTGGGGATCTGCTGGATGCTAGGCAGTCTTAGATACTGGGAATACAGCAGTGAACAAAGCAGATGAAAGCAGCTCTTAGTCTGGTGAGGAAAAGATTGAAAACGAACTAATAATTAAATATATATACGTATTGTGTCAGATAAGTGCTATCGAGAAAATTAAACAAGGAAAGAAGAGTTGCAGTTATCATTGGGGTGGACCAAAAAAACACACACTGGCAAGGTAACAGACTTCAACCATGCATCTGTCTGGTGATGAGCATTCCACGCCAGGGGAGGCAAGTGGAATAGCCCAGGGGCGGGAGCCTGGGAGCATTCCTGGGCCTCTCAAGGAGACAGGCTGGGGTGGCCAGAATGGAGTGAGTGAAGGGGTAGTGGCAGGAGATGAAGTCAGAGAAGCAGCAGGAATAGGGGAGAAGAGTGGTCAAGGGGCCAGGCTTCCTCAAGCAGATGAACAGAGCACCAGTGGCAGTTCACCAGGTTCCTTCCCAATTTTAGGATGCTGCTCTGTGTTCTAGTCCAAATGTTCGTGTTGAGTATGAATAAAGGAAGTGGTATTACCTCTGGTTGAACCCCAGCCCTTTCCCACTGTCACCATCTTTATTGTTTTCCTTGTCTGCTGACACTGTTCACAGGTGCTGCGCTGAGTCTCACAGAGTGCTCTAGTCCCTCCGACTTCCGAGTTTTCACTAAATGTTGCAATTTTTTTTTAAAGTGGTGTTAGAACCAAAGGAAATTGGCCAATTCTTGATTTGGATTGCAGCAGTCAAGGTTCTGACATGATGTAAATAATCCTGAACGACCATTTTGCCCTGTGAGTTGTGGGGTGCTTAGCTCAGTTCCCTGAAGGGAAGGCCCCCAGTCTCCTTGGTGTGCACGTCTGTACATTCCAGGTGATCTCTCCTAGTGCTGGGACTATTGGACCTACGTGTTCTAAGCCTCTTGTCTTTTACAGGGAAACTAGTACTGATTGAATTGGATCCTAACCAAGAATGGGGGATACTGTACTAAAAAACATCCCCCCAAAATATAAAACAGCTTTAAATGTGAGACCCAAACCCTATCCTTTGTTTCCTATATTTTACTATAAAATATTCACCTTTTGTTTAAATAAAACGTCAGTATTAACTAATATCTGTATTGCAATATAAGATGAAGTCTGCACAGTAGTTCTCTGAGGTGAGTATTACACTGTCATAATTGGAAAATTACTAATGCTAGCTCCTGCCATTATTACATATGAGAGATGAGGGAGCAGGCTCAAGATCATGATTCCAGTCCATAGCTATATAGGGACTAGAACTCAGGACTGCCGATTGCCAAGTTAGTCTTTCTACCACACCCTAGGGATAAACAACTTTAGAACATTTTAAAGAGATTTCCTTAAATTTTTACACCCTGTCTTCATATTGGGAGTTTCCCCTGGAAGTGTGTCATACTAGGGTTACTACTAAAATGTTCTCCCCTGAAGTAGCATATGTAGGTAACACTGAAATGCAGAGTTAAGGGTCACTGAAGTTTATACATTTGTCTGGGTCTGTATTGCTGCTCTGAGAAATAGATGATTATGGTTGACAGACAGTCCAGTTTGGGTTTTGCCATAGATCACATTGTTTGCAAGTGGCCTCTTGAGCTCATGTTGCTTGAGTCTTGTTTCCCATAGTTTTTCAGCTGGACTTAGAGCCCACGGAAAGATAGAATGGAATTAGGACTATAAGCCAGTCAACCAGAGTAAGGAAAGTGAGTGAAAGTGAAGTCGCTCAGTCGTGTCCAACTCTTTGTGACCCCATGGACTGTAGCCTACCAGGCTCCTCCGTCCATGGGATTTTCCAGGCAAGAGTACTGGAGTGGGTTGCCATTCCCTTCTCCAGGGGATCTTCCTGACCTAGGAATCAAACCTAGGTCTCCCACATTGCAATTGCGGGCAGACACTTTACCGTCTGAGCCACCAGGAGTAAGGAAACAAGGGAGAAAACAACTGTGGCCCCATTTTGCAAAGGAAGACACTACTGTTCTTGAACAGAATTATTCTTTGTTTTAAGGGTCCTTAGTTGGGTCCTAGGCAGTGTTGCCCAATGGCTTGCTGGCTTTGAGCTCACCCTGTTGTATGTGTCTGGGGTGGGAGGGTGGGGCGGTGGGGAATGGTATACCTGGTGGTGAGCATGTCAGTTTGCCTTTCATGGGGCCCTAACTCTGCCCCCACCCCCAATAAGTTAGCCCCAGCCCCTGCACCAGAGAGGTTGCCTCCAATCACAGTGTCTGCTTGGCATGGTTGACTTCAGTGATACAAAGTTACATTTCAGCATTGCCATGTGTAGCTAAATGGTGGTTTATAGTAATTTCTCATCTTCTAAGTCTCTTCCTAAATGCTTGTTTATCATACTTCATTGCTCTCTTAAGCAGTGGTGCTCTGGATTTCTCCATTTTGGATAGAGCTATGTTAAAAAGAGATTATAACCTAAGATGAAAATAAAGAAAAACAGTGTTTCCTCTGCTCAAAAATTGAGTGTTCTTCTAGGCAGTGAGTCAGAGTCCCTTCTATTTGGGTGAGACTCCGAAGGCACTGCCTCTGCCAGCTGCTGTCACAGACTCGGCTCGTGGTAGGTCCCCAGAACGGAGCTGAGGAATGAGCGCCAGAGGAAACAGTGGGCTTGCTCAGCTCTTTGACGAAAACAGCACAGCCAGCACGGTTTTGCTCATGTGTTTTAAGTATGAGTGTCATAGAGGTTTAATACATGGTGTCTACTCTTGAGGATCTAGCTCTCTTGTTAGGGAAGAGGACTATACCTAACAACAATAACAACATGCTGAACATCAAGTGAGAGGTCAAAACACAGAGCTAATTTGTTTCATCTTCATTAAAGCCCAGTGTCCTTAACAAGTAAATGTTGAAATCAAATAGCTCCCTTATACCAGGAAACCTAACAGTTCTTACATCTGAAGGTCAGTATCCCTGTTAAACTCACTCAGCCCTGTGGCCCAGGCACTTATCGCAGGGGTAACTGTACATGTGTTTGTGTAGTTACTTAATGGCTGTCTACCCATCTCCCACACTTCAGTATAGTAAGTACTGAAGGCCCGGAGAATATCTTTGGTCATATTTCTTCCCTTGGAGCCTTGCACACAGTAGGAAGCAGTGAGTGTTTATTAACTGAAGGAAGCCCCCTCTCCACCTGGCCTT